ACCTGTGTACATACATATACCATCTACTCCTCACTACAATCTTGCTATTTGACATTTATGTTAACAGTAGAAGACTACTGTCCAACTATCTTGTACTCACAATATACTTCAGTCAGTATATTGGAGCCCTGGCTGAAGAAAGACTACTGTTCCTATTCTTGTAAACAGTTTCAGTCTCAGGGACCCACAGGAGGTCGCTATGAGTCAGGATGGGCTCAAGCGCAGTGGGTTTTCTGTCAGTTTGAAGGACTGAGGTGTGAGGTGCCAGTAATGCTTCCCGGTTAAGGTTCTGTATCAACTGGGCTGGGCTGTGATTCTCATTGGTTTGGCAGTTATGCAGTGATATAATTTGGCAGTTATGTAACGATGTAATAATCCTCCATTTTTTTATTTGATGTCATCCTAGAGGTCTGATGTTGTTTAACTGAAGCTAATCAGTTGAAAAGGGAATTTTCTTGGGGTGTGGCTCTCTCCGGTTTTCATCGATTTTTGAAATGTACAACATCAAGTTTAAGGAATTTAATCAGTCATCAAGAATCATAAGATTATGATTATTTTCATCTGTTCATGTTGTCTCATGCACAGTGCAGGGCAATTAATTATTTAATATGACTCTTCTAGCTGTACCATCAAATGACTTTTGTTTTCCTGGTGGTCCTGAATAAGAAGATGAGGGGAGATATTGATTGGATTATATGATTCAGTTGTGAGTGTTGTTCACAGGGTTCATTGTGATTACCACCTTGCTGGATATGAAGTGAGCCTTCCCTGAATCAAGAAGTAGGAGCTATTACTGCCAGCAAAAGGAAAGAGACAGAGTGGAGTGTGTCCTTTGGGCCTCAAGGTCAATACACATTGAACCTCCTTGATCCAGGAGACAGCTGTGAGGATTAGCAGAGGAGCTGCAGCCGACACAGGAGCCAAAGCATGAGACAGAGTAGCTGATTTCTGAACCCACAGAGCAAATAAAGCTGAGTGCTTTGGGGCAGAAGGCTGGCTTGTGGTGGTGCCTTTGGCCATTTAACTGGGGTATATGAGTTTGCTGACCCACAGAGCTGGAGCTAAGTGTCTATAGACCGAGGCTTATGATTGAGTGTTATGCCCGTTGAGCATGCATTTGCAATCCCACAAGAGCTTTATAACACTGCTGAAGCAGGGCAAAGGCCAGGGGAAATGGCTGAGGGCCAGAGAGGCCTGACTGCAGAGCTGCGTCCTGAGTATTTCTCCCTGAATAGTAGCCGTTAACTTCCCTGATAAGCCCCTTAATGGTGAGCAGCATTTGTGAGCTCTGCATGGACAGGAGCCCCCCCACCCCCACCCCATGGCATAGTGGTTATGATTTGGGTTGCTAGCTGCAAAATCAGCAGTTCAAAACCACCAGTAACTCTGAGGGAGAAAGATGGGGCTTTCTACTCCTGTGAGTAGTTACAGCTTCAGAAACCCACTGGGGCAGTTCTGTCTACTCTGCCCTATAGCATCACTCTGGGTAAGCATTAAGTCAGGCGTCCTCAAACTATACGGCCCGCGGGCCACATGCGGCCCACCGAGGACATTTATCCGGCCCGCCGGGTGTTTTTGCCCCATTTTGTTTTTTACTTCAAAATAAGATATGTGCAGTGTGCAGAGGAATTTGTTCATAGTTTTGTTTTAAAACTAGAGTCCGGGCCTCCAATGGTCTGAGGAACAGTGAACTGGCCACCTGTTTAAAAAGTTTGAGGACCCCTGCATTAACTCAATGGAAGGTGAGTTTCAGGCATGAGTTTTGGGTTTTTTTGGTGTGGGCATTGTAATGAATTATTGAATCCAGTCACAGAAGTAGAGTGAATAGAACAAAAAGGGATGGAGGGTGGAGATATATTTGACCTCTACCTTGTGGCAATCAGCTTTGAGAGCCAGAAGTCTTACGTGGACCCCACATCATCATTCCGTCACATACTGAGTATGATTGGCTCAAGGAAACCCTCAAACAGAGCCCTTGTTAGGCCCAGGCTACTATAATTTTTGCATAACTCTGGTTTTTGCACAACAAGCAGGCACTTGGAACCTAAACATGCCAGTAAGTGAGAGCAGGTCCATATGAGGGTGTGCACTCCCCCCCCAAAAAAAACCCCAAAAACCCAAAAAAAACAAACAGAAAAAGCTCTGCTGGGCAAAGCTTTCGCAGTGCACATTTTTTCCTGCTAGGCGAGCATCAAGCTACTCTCTCGAGCTAGTGCACCCAGCAGCATCACCTGGGAAGGATCTCTCTGGCCACAGTGAATTTTTTCATAAAAGCAGTTTCACTTAAACCACATTTTTTTTTGTGTGTGATGGCCAATTTAAGAGAACAGCATGCAGCCATGACATTTTGTTTCCTGCTCTGGAAAAATGCCACAGAAACTGTTATGATGTTGAACACAGCCTACAAGGACAGCACTATGGGAAAAAGTCAAGTGTACGAGTGGTTTTCTCATTTCAAAAAAGGTGAAATGTCGACTGATGACAAACTTGGTCTGGACGTCCGTCAAGTTCCTGAATGGGTGAAAATGTTGGCTTGTGCATTTGGAGTTCGTTCCACCAGGCCAGACTGTTCATCAAGCTTTCCATCTAGAGGTTCCGGAAAGACAGCATAGCAGCGTGCAACAAAAAGGCCGGATTTGTGGCAGATGGGGGACTGTTTTGTCACCAGGACAAGGCACCTGTTCATGCAGCCATCTCAGTGTGCCAGTTTTTGGTAAAAAACAGCATGCCTCCCTTGCCACACACTGTACTTACCTAAGCTCCCTCTGTGTGACTCCTTTTTGTTTCCTGAAGTGAAGACGGACATGAAAAGACAGCAATTTGACGACGTAGAAGAGGTGAAGGAAAAAAACGAAGGAGGTGCTGTCAGCCATCCAAACAGGTGCATTTGCAAAATGTTTCCAAGAGTGGAATCGCAAATTTGACAAATGTATTGAGTGTAATGGAGAGTACTTTGAAGGTGATAAGGTTGTTTTGTAAAAAAAATTTAATACATAGCTTTGAAAAAAAAAATCTGTGTTGGGGGATACCCCCTTGGATGCATGTAAATGTATACACATATGTCTATTAGGTTATAATGAGCACCCAAAGGGCTCACGCTGCGACATTCATCCTTAGACCCCATGGAACAGCAGAGGTTTAGCGGGAAGGAGCTTGGCCCATTATCTAGTATAAGGTCTCCTTTCACAGAAGGAGAAAGTGAGGAGCAGAGAGGTCAGGGCCTCCCGGTACTGCACACTGAGTAGCAAGGCCATGGCTAAGGACCCACTGTTTGGGTTTTGTTTGTCATAGTGCTGAATTCTAACTGCTTTACTCATGCCAAACTTCTGACCATTTTCTGTACTGCTAATCATTTTCAATGCTTTCTTTCATGTAACTCGTCCAAGAAAAATGGGTTCTTACTTCCACCTACTTAACAATCTTCCCTTCTGAACAATGGGGCAAAATGGGATTCAGGGGGGAAGGATACAAAATGTATTTCCTTTTTACTTCAGGAGTTTATTTGTGACAAGTGGAAGCCAGGGATATGATGCCCGAAGGTGCCCACAGCAAGCAAGAGGACCATCAGGGATTTCACAGACCCAGAGATGCTTCACCCCTGGAAGCACCACTGTCCCAGGGAGCTCTGTTCAGGAGAGGATGCTTGGCGGGCAAGAGAAGGACACCCTCTAGTCGAAACCTGGGGGTGATCTTAGCACTGCCTTGAGTGGCAGCTCATGCCAGTAAAGAGAGATGGGAAAGGGGCTTCAACAGACAGTGCTGACGCACAGAAACACGTCTTCTCTCAGGTCACTCAACTTGCGACTGCGTCCTTCCCTTGTGAGGGGGAGGAACGTGCCCTAATACATAGCTGCAGGGAAGGTCCACTGCAGTAATGCTGTGAAAGGACTTTGTAAAGTGTGGTGGTCTTAAAAACAATATCGCCATGTATAGTCAATATCTGCTTTACTTTCTAATGCTGTTTCAATAGAGCACATGTGCACAAATAAGAGTAAAAATATTCATGACTGCAGTCTGCATGTAAATATTTAAATACATTTATATGTAAACCAAATGTTTACAGTTAGACACATTTAAAGACATTTGAAGAGATCAGATGGTGTAGCTCCTAAGCCGCTGCTACCAAGTGGGCTCTGGCAAAAAGCAACCCTGTCGGGCAGAGTGGAAAGGTCCCACAGAGTTTCGAAGACTGTGAACCATGTGGGGGCAGCCCACTGAGTGGCTGGTGGGTTCAAACAGCTCATCCTTGGGGTAGAAGCCAAGCTCTGAATTTGTCATACTTGGCCTTGAATCCCCGTCTCTTACTTCCGTTTGAGACTCAGGCATCATCACTTGTAAAACCAGGTAATACCCGCTTCACAGGGTTAGTGGGAGGATCTAATGAGGTGGTGCATTTAAATACTTGGCACAGCAATTGGTACACAGTCAGGGGCAGATGGACTGGCACCGCAGTTGCAACAACGGGCTTACACATAACTAGTGTGAGGATGGTGCGGGGTTGAGCGGTGCCCATTCTGTCCTACACAGGGTTGCGATGAGTCGCAACCAACTTGAAGGCATCCAGCAACAGTAAAGGCGCAAACAAATGGTCTTCACTTTGCCATTGTAAGCAGAACAATCCAAAGTCCAAGGCCTTACTGCCACCTGATGGCCGCACACTTTAAATACAGAAATCCCATCTCAGAAGGGAAAAAACCCTCTCAAATACTGGCAAACGTTTTACCTTGCACGATTCACTTATATTCACAAAAGATGAAATGTACTTAAAAAAATCAGAAGTTCATTCTGAAACTACATATTAAGTGCTTTTTATAGGCTGAAAAACAATATACATGAGTTGCATTCATATTTTAGGCATTAATGCTCTAAACTAAGTTGTGCAGAAAGTGATAGCGAGCACAAATATTAAATTACCAAAATATGCACGTTGTGCTAAATACCTCAAATGGAAGCACGTCTAAAGACACGTCTTATTCTAACTGGAGTCTTAGGTGACTCACCTTTCCAGCAGCTTCCAGTTCTTTTTTATCCCTTTTGGCATTTCCCGCCAGCATTTTCATCTCAACAATTCCTGACACGGCAATAATCGGAACAACCAATAACAGCAAAAGGGTTAATTGCCAACCGTAAACAAATGAGATGATAATGCCAGTTCCGAGGTTAGCGGTATTCTGCGCAATTAACGCCAACCTGGTTCCTGTGGCCTGGGAGAGAAGGAGGGAAGAGCAGCTGTGTGCTAAGTTCCAAGTCCACGAGCCCCCGTTAGGCTTCTTAGTGAGAATTATGGTGAGAGGTGTGTGCCTGCTCTGTCCTTTGCAATAAGCCTGTCCCCTGGGCTTGCTGAACTCATGAGATGCTCTGGCCGACTTGCCTTTAAACTCTCGTTCTTCTGCTCCCCGCGTGGTGCACACCGTATGCAAGCACGCAGTCAACTGCTCGACAAAGAGGCTGTGAGACATACTTTTCCTTGACACTTAAAGAGGTCATGACCCCCAAGGTGCCCTGGGAATTGTAAAGACCCTTTGCTTCAAAGGCATAAGACATGTTTAAACTTACACAACCCCACCAGGAAGCATACACATCACGCCAATGCTCGTTGTCATGTTGTGGACCCTGACTCACAGTGACTATGGGGCAGAGTAGAACTGTATGGTAGGGTGTCTGAGGCTTAAATAGTTACATAGACAAACACCTCATCGTCCTTCCTTAGAGCAGTTAATTGGGTTTGAACTGCCCACCCAGTGCTTAGTGCACTGTGCCACCAGTGTTACTAGCAGCACGCATGGGGATGAATTGTTGCTTACATCACTGAGAAGATCAGGGCGATTACAGGGGCCATTGCTGTTGCGTCTTCCCCATTGGAGGAAGGGGCAAGTTTCAGCAAACCAGGCCTCAGGTACAGGAGTGGGGACCTAGGCCAGCCAGGGCATGCCTTCTCTGATTCAAAATTGGGCAAGTGAACTAAATGAGCCAAATTAGATTGAGGGGAAGGGTTTGGGTTCGGTGGTTGAAGTAGGAGTGTATACTCTTTCTCACAGGGTGGGAAACATGGAAGCTTATAGCTCTGATTATGACTTGTAGCATTCCATGACCACAAGGGAAACCAGCCTGAGGATGGAGCCAATACTGAGGATGGGCAGCCACTCAGAGACAGCAGGACACTGGCTCCTTGATGATGCTGAGGCAACTGTTCAATCAATCCTGCAGTCTAACCCTGAACTCTCTCATTGTTTGGTCAGTTTGGTTGGGTATTCTGTTATTTCCGGCTGAGTGCACTCTATCTGTTATGTTGCTTAACACTGTGCCAAACGGAAATGCAGTGTGCAGTCTACATACTCCTTGGACTTGGGAGGCATCCGTTGCCAGTCTTGTAGAAAGTGCACCAGTACTGTTTTTGTGGTCATCAAACCAGCTCATGTCCTAAGGCACAAAATATACCTTTAAATTAGTTCAAAATGAAAACAAGCCAAGGAAAAGCAAAAGAAACCTCTCACAGTTTCAACCCTAAGGAAATAGCCACACTGAGCCTGCATATGCAGCTACAGAGCCCTGGTTACAGCCTTCAGACTCGAGCAGGACCTTCACTTCCAAGCTGCTCTGTTGTGAGGCAAAGAGCATCGCTGATCCGGGAGGGGAGTGGGGTTCATACAGACTGCAGTTTGGCTCCCTGACAGCCTCACCTGACGCTCTGGGACATGCAGACACTCACCACCATCTGTGTGACACACACTTCTCCCTCATAAAGGAAGACAACCAAGGGCTGGGGCATTTGCTAGACTCTGTTCACTCTTTTCGACTCTGTACAGGAGAAAAGAAGCCTTGGCTCTTGGTTTCTCCCTGTGCTCTTTTTGAAAACAAGGATCGAAACACTATGTGTTTGACACAATTTTAATGATAAACAACTCATTCATAGCACCTTTTTTCATAGAAAATACTTTTCTCTACACAGCAGTCATTAACATAATTCTGAAAAGATAGTTGTGAACTCAGATTTGCTTCCAATCGGTAAGACTGGCTGGGCTCTTTTGTGAACAGGATCTTAATCACTTTGTGCCAATTGAATGGATTATGAAAACAGAGAACTCACGTCTGCCCCTTTCCCTCACATCCCGCACTAGACTGCGAACTTCCCAAAAGGGCAGGCGACGCATCACAGGCTCAGTTACCGGCTTCCATAGAAGGGAATGATTAAATGAGTTAATGTGAAACCGAAGGTCAAGTAAGACAGAAACAAAACCCAATTATGAGCATCTGGGGAAATCTACAATTAGTATACTTCAATGGTGCCCATCAATGCAACCAATTGCCCTTTCCTTTGTTTAAGGGCATCCTGGAATCTCAGTGGATGAGTATCAGGGTTTGTGTAGGACACAGAGTAGAGATAGAGGTCCTCACAGTTCTAGCACCCACACAGAGAGATAGATGCAGAACAAGCCCGAAGAAAAGGCACACATTTAGCTCATTCCCATGAAAACCTTGAGTGGTCTTGGGATATTGAAAAACAAGAACAGGTGGATGGATCTAAGCATGGGGCATGCTCCAGTGCCCACACTCACCTGTCTTAGCATTGCTTTAAAAGCCATCAACCGAAGTCTTGTGGTGAGGATCTCTCCAGCTTTCCCAAACGTGAAACCCTGGTGGAGAAAAAACAAAAAAACCTACTGGTCCCTTTTGGTCATCACCAGTAAGCTGACACAAGTGTGTATATCCATACACACTTACAATACAGACAATCAAGATTAGTATTTTGTCACATACTCTTTGACAACCAAACTCTGGGAGCAAATACTAATCCCAAATCCCAAATGTACAAATTATTAAAGCTACTAATAGTTGTTATTCTGAGTCATCGAGTTAATTCTGTTCCGTGACCCTACCAGACAGAGTAGAACTTCCCCCTAGAGCAGTGGTTCTCAACCTTCCCAAGGCCGACCCTTTCATTCAGTTCCTCATGTTGTGGTGACCCCCACCATAAAATTATTTTTGTTGCTACTTCAAAACTGCAATTGTGCTACTGTTATGAATCGTCATGTAAATATCTGATAGGGAGGAAGTATTTTCTTTTTTTTATGAAAAAATCTTTATTGCACTTGATGATACAACAACAAAAATAGTAAACATACATCATGAGTAAATCCATTAAAAAAAGTATAGATACAAAATAACTACCATCTATACTCAAGTATCAGCAGAGTTTTTCAACACATTTTTAAAAAAACATTTTATTAGGGGCTCATACAACTCTTATCATAATCCATACACACATCAATTGTGTAAAGCACATTTGTACTTCATTCTCAAAACATTTTCTCTCCACTTAAACCCCCG